ACTTATATTAAAACATGAGAAATTTATTCTCTCACAGTTCTGGAGGCTGTGAAGTCCAAAATCAAGGTGCTAGCATCTAGTGTCTAACGAGGGCCTTTTTGTGTCCTCACATGGCAAAAGGTGGAAGGGCAAAAACGGACAAACTCTGTTTCACAGGGCAGAAGAGTGAAGACAGAGATCCCATTCCTGTGAGCTCTCTTTATAACAACATTCATATAGTCATGAGAACAGAGTCCTTATGATCTGAACACTTCTCATTAGGCCCCCTCTCTTAACACTCTTGAGTTGGGAGTTAAGTATCTAACACTTGAATTTTGAAGGGGACAAAAACTTCAAACCATGGCAGCATACTAAACATATTGTTTTAAATTTCCCAGCCTTATAACTCCAGTATCCCTGCCATGTGTGAGTCAGGTTCTGCTGCTTGTTTTTTTTCTTTAAATTGGTATGCCTTGTATTTATTTTTTTCTTGATAGCTAGACATGGTGTAATGGGTAAAAGAAATGGAAGTGAATAGGATGTTATTAGCCTATTTTTATGCTGTTGATAAAGACATACCATTGACTGGGCATTTTATAAAAGAAAGAGGTTTATTGGACTTACAGTTCCAAGTGGCTGGGGAGGCCTCACAATCATGGCAAAGATGAAAGGCACATCTCTCATGGCCTTATAAAATCATCAGATCTCATGAGACTTATTCACTACCACGAGCACAGCACAGGAAAGACCTGGCCTCATGATTCAGCTAACTCCCACTGGGTCCCTCCCACATCATGTGGGAATTCAAGAAAAGATTTGTGTAGGAATACAGCCAAATCATATTGCAGGCTCTTAGTAATGCAGTGGTGAAGTGTAGAGGGATGGGGACCATTGTGTAGCCCTATGAGTAGTTATAGCCCTGTAATTAGTTATAGGGCTGTACAGTGGTCCCCACGCCCTGCACCTCACCACCTCATTAGTGAGCCTGTGCCTCTAAATTGTTAACTTCACAACAGTGGGCTGGTGTTGGGTATTTCTCTTTTCCCGCATGAAGACTAGAGCCGACTGGAGTTAGATATTCTCCTTCCCCCAGTTTCACTGATGAAACCCCAACAATTTAGGCTTTTAAATAGTTTCTCTGGAGGACAGGCCTTATTAACAAGAATTGAATGCTCTGGCATATTTCCAAACGGTTCATTTTCTCCCTCTTCCTTTTGGAAGCATGAAGGTTTTTGTTTGTTTTGTTTATTTTGTTTACTTGATTTTCACTGTGAGGACTGTAGGTAAAACTCTCAAAAGTGTGGAGTTCCTTATATAACTAGGTCCCCTTGGAGGTTTTATCTCTAAGATGATCTACCCTGGACTTCCAGCAATTTGCCAGTTACAGTTCAAGTTTTCCTAACTGGTTTCTGCAGAGGCTTCTGCTGGGGGGATTCTGCTCTGGTAAATTGTGATTCTCTGTATCTGCCCCTCTATTCCTCCAACTTTGGGGGTGGCAGTTTGTACTGTGATCTCACATCTTTCACAGATCTAAGAAGAGTTGTTGACTTTTCAGTTTGTTCAGCTTTTTACTTTTTAGGGTGAAGTGACAACTTCTGAGCACCTAATGTCCTAGGCCAGAAACTGGAAGTCCTGTGGACTTTTCACTTACCTCCTGGGTACACACAGCTACTCTGGCTGTGTGTTTAATGCAAAGCTAAACTCATTTTATTTTTAATATAATGTCATTTAAAAATTATAATCTGTTGCTGAAACTTCAATAGGGATTCATTAGATATAATGTGAGCTTGCATTAAAATAGCAGTAAAAGATTTCTTGGATAAATTAAGCTACAAGAAATGATCAAATTTAATTTATCAAAACAGAACAAAAAACAAATTAGGTAAATGTAATAATTTACATTTTTTAAGAGCCAAGTATATTCAGAAATTGTAAGACATCACTTATTTTATTTTTTCTATTCCAAAATGTGGCATACTAAAATATCTCCATTAAAACAGTGAAACAGCATACCATATTTGTAGCATTTCAGCATCACATAGCCACCTAATATCAGAAGTCACGCTGGATTGGTATAACAGGTGTAGACTCAGATCTTCCTCCCATGGAGCCCCGCCTTTGTTTCATTCATAGCTCAAAAGTCTGTCATTCCACAGGACTTCTTCTTTAATAAATGGAAGAGAAACATCACTGCACATGTTACAGCAGTTGAGTTCTTTTGAATTAGGTTGTTCCAAAAATTACTGTTTCATCTTGTACAGCTCCCCTACTGATTTTTTAGAACTGAGCGCTATAGTTTCTCTTCCTTGAAGTATTCTAACATTTTGCTTGTTTTGCTCAGATCATTCAAAAACAAAATCTGACTTTTTAAAACATTTTCATGTAAAATGTCCTTCAGTCATGGAAACAATGAATAGTAATATTTAAGATGAAATAAACGGCAACATCCCAATTCTAAACTGGAAGTATACAGCTGTGTAGTAGCACAGGCCAGAGATAAGTGGGTGAAATCCATATGTCCCTGCAGCGGGTCCTGCATTTTAGGGTCATATATACGGTGTACACACACACACACACACACACACACACACACACACGTAAAAACATCACTCATTTTATTTTTTCTACTCTAATATATGGCATATAAAAATATTTTCATTAAAACAATGACAACAGTATGCTCTATTTGTATTATTTTTTGATGCTGTGGTCACCTAATATCAGAAGTCATGTTGGATTGTTGTAGCAGGTATAGATTCAGATCTCCCTTCCATGGAACCATATGTATTTTGTCACATGAATGAAAAGAGGAAGACCTGAATTTACACATATATGAAAAATTATTTCCAGTGTGGACTTTTATTTATCTTTTTTGTTTGTTTGTTTTTGCCCACAAAATGGCTATTGTTGACTCATGGAACACTGTTTGGAAAAGACTATGAAGAGAGTGATTCTTCATCAGTGACTAGGCATCTTTTCATGGTAGGAACACCCAGATGGGGTTCATTTTGATGATATAATTTACCTGTGTGCTTGGAGAGCTTTGATCAGATGAAATACATTGTTAAAAATATTATATAAAATATATGCTACTTGGATAGAGCTGTGATTCTTTGGAAGTGGAGAAATACATCTCGTTGCACTGGGATTTTGTTAATCTCTGGATTTCCTCAACTTTCCCTCTGGCTTGTTTTTCCATTTTCCTGCTTCTAATGTGATAAAATGTCATCGGCCTCACCATTACCCATGGATCCATTACATATTTATGTGAAGCACCATTGAGACAGGTGCTTGTTTCTCCGTGGTGGGTTGTTTAGGAAGTGTTGGGCGTTTTAGAATCAGCAGGGTTTTTATGTTTGACTGATTCTAGCTCAGAGTGGCTAGTATTTGTCTTAGTCTCCTCAGAGAGGAGTTTGGAAGTCCAGTTCATCTTTTGCTGGGCAGGTGAGGGTCAACACAGACGAGCATCTCTTGTTTCCATTCAGCTTGTGCTCTGACTCGGGCTCTCCCGCAGTGCCACACCCCCTGTCTCCCTGTCTCTGAGCAGGCCTATGTAATAAGGTGCAAAGACAAGTTAACAAAGGACTGTGGCCCTGGTCAGAGGCCTTCAGTTAACCCTTCTTCCTGCAGGCCTCTGCACGGAGCCAGAAGCAACTTGACTGGGCCACACATACAGAAGGAAGGGAGGGTGGAAAGAAGACCCATGTAGAGAGAATAATGTGACCATGTGATATGGTTTGGCTCTGTGTCTGCACCCAAATCTCATATTGAATTGTAATCCCCCAGTGTTGGGGGAGGGACCTGGTGGGTGGTGATTGGATCATGGGGGCAAATTTTCCCCTTGCTGTTCTCATGATAGTGAGTGAGCTCTCATGAGATCTGGTTGTTTAAAAGTGTGTAGCACTTCCCCCTTTGCTCTCTTCCCCTTGTTCTGCCATGTGAAGAAGTTGGTTTTTTCCTCTTCTCCCTTCCACTCTGATTATAAGTTTTCCAAGTCCTCCTGAACCATATTTCCGTATAGCCTGCAGAACTGTGAGTCAATTAAACCTCTTTTCTTTATGAATTACCCAGTATCAGGTAGTTCTCTATAGCAGTGTGAGAATGGGCTGTACACCATGCTCTTAGCTTGCATCTCTTCCCCTACCCAATTTTCCTTCAATGAAAGAATGGTAAAAATAAGCGTTCTAAACTCCTTCCAAATAATACAGCAGTTGCATTGCATTTTTTTTCTTCAGAACAAATAAGTATTAGAATTATTGGATGAAATAAGTCTTTATTCCTACTTCTCCCTGACCCCACCAAATAACCTCATACTGTTAAAAACTGTGCTACTAGTCATACAATCTTGAATATACATATATTCAATATATAACTCTCTCATCTATAAAGATGATTTGAGTGATTGTATCAAGTTGCAATTTATCACTCGACTTTATAATATTTAGTCACATATGACCAATTAAATTACCCAACCTGACAAAAATCTATAGTGTGGTGCTTATTAATAGCTAATATATTGGTATAATGCATAGAATCATAAAAGTATAGCCCTAAGGTGTACATTTCTGTTGTTGTGATAGATTAACAACATTTCCTGAGTCAACCTTTTTATTCATTTTTTTATTTTTGAGACAGAGTCTTGCTCTTTGCCCAGGCTGGAGTGCAGTGGCTTGATCTCAGCTCAATGCAACATTTGCCTCTCAAGTTCAAGCAATTCTTGTGCCTCAGCCTTTCTAGTAGCTGGGATTACAGGAACCTGCCATGATGCTAGCTAATTCTTTGTATTTTTAGTACAGACAGGGTTTCACCATGTTGGCCAGGCTGGTCTCGAATTCCTGGCCTCAAGTGATCCACATGCCTCAGCCTCCCAAAGTTCTGAGATTATAGGCATGAGCCACTATGCCTGGCCTGATTCAAACATTTTTTATGGTTTGAAAAATATCAGAATTACATTCTCCCCTGCTCACCACCTCTCCATTTCTTTTTTTTTTTTTTCTGCAAATCAATATTTTCTTTGAATGTGGAAAGATCCAGAGATGCTGACATATGAGAAGAAGCTTGTTCTGACAATTTCCAGGTTAGTTTGGTGGATGAATTTCATGAATTCTGGTGAGAATACTAACTTTTATTAGAATTCTTGGATTTCAGCAAGCCAGTTAGAGAAGCTAGTAAGAATTTGGATGTGTACCTCAAACGTTACATAGCTTTGGTATTATTATTCTTCCCTTTCTAAGGCATACTAAAACTGAAATAAATAAGATCCTGAAAACAAATGCACTGGGGTTTTTTTTTTTTGTCTCAGAGCCCCAAAGCACTAAAGTCATAGGCATTCAAACCCTGCCATTTCCCCCTTTCTTGCAAGGTCACCTGGCAGCCCTGCTCTGTCCCGTGGTTCTTGTCATCCCCATGGGTTCTGGGCAACTGATGCTTTTGCTGTGTTCCTTCCTCTGTCTGCTCACAAAGGGGCAGGCATCTAGGAACAGGCTTCTCGTTTCCTCTGAGACACTTCTGGGGGACTGTTAGAGGCTGTGAGAGTCCATTTCCCTGTACCACACCCAAAAGCTCATTTCTCCTTTGTCATGAGACTCTCAAGAATTGTAGCTTTGTCTTCCTTAAGAGTAATTTTTCAGCTGGGTGTGGTGGCTCACACCTGTAATCCCACCACTTTGGGAGGCCAAGGTGGGAGAATCACTTGAGACCAGGAGTTTGAGACAAACCTGGGCAACATAGTGAGCCTTTGTCTCTACAAAACATAAAAAAATTACCTGGGCATGGTGGTGCATGCCTGTAGTCACAGCTACTTGGGAGGTTGAGGTGGGTGGATAGCTTGAGCCCAGAAGTTCAAGGTTACAGTGAGCCATGATTGTACCACTGCATTCCGCCTGTGGACCAGGCTCTTAAAAAAAGCAACCCAGTCGCTTAAAAAAAAAAAAAAGAGTAAATTTTCTGCCACCTAAGAGCATCTCTCATTATTGTTTGGGGATTCTGTGACATATCTATTTTTTTTTTTTTTTGGAGATGGAGTTTCACTCATGTTACCCAGGCTGGAGTGCAATGGCGCGATCTCGGCTCACCACAACCTCCACCTCCTGGGTTCAGGCAATTCTCCTGCCTCAGCCTCCTGAGTAGCTGGGATTACAGGCACGCACCACCATGCCCAGCTAATTTTTTATATTTTTAGTAGAGACGGGGTTTCACCATGTTGACCAGGATGGTCTCGATCTCTTGACCTCGTGATCCACCCGCCTTGGCCTCCCAAAGTGCTGGGATTACAGGCTTGAGCCACCGCGCCCGGCCGACATATCTTTTTTAGGGAGAGTTAATCTCAGTATTTAAAGGCCCATCTCTCCATTCAATGTTTTCTTCAAAGTTTCTCTCAAGAGGCTGAGTCTTCAACAAAAATTAAAAATAAAAAGAATAATTTAAATATTGAGATTAGGACTCCCTTTTGCTATGGTTGAAGCTGTTTGGTTGACTTCGTGATTGAAAAGCTACACGTGCTTGTATATTAGAAATAATCCTACAGATTTCAGTATCAATCACCCATTGCTCTATGACCAATAACAATGCAAGTTTTGTTTCTGTATTTCAGAAGTGTGTCTTGGAGGAAAGAAAGTTTAGAAGAAAGTTAGTTTAATTAAATTATCTGTACTTATTTGCATTGGTATAAAATGTACATATGTAGTAGGTATATAAAAATTAATTTTTCCCTCATTTCCTGTTTCTCAATGCTATTGAGTCATTAATTTCTTCATTCAGTAAATAGGCATTCATGCTTATGTACTATGCACCATGGTCTGTGCTGGGGATATCACAGCAAATAAAGAGTATATGAGCTTGATCTCACAGTCTTGCAGTTTAGTAGCTGTAGATAGCATTAATATTTAACTTCATCATCACTGCCCATCTCAATTTAGGAATCTTGTTAAGACCTAGCATATCTGATCACTTTCAGCATGAGAAAACATACAATTTAAAAAACAGAGCCAAGGCACAGTGGCTCATGCTTGTAATCCCAGCACTTTAAGAGGCCGAGGTGGGTGGATCACCTAAGGTCAGGAGTTCAAGACCAGCCTGAGCAACATGGTGAAACCCCTTCTCTACTAAAAATGCAACAATTAGCTGGGCATGGTGATACATGCTTATAATCCCAGCTACTCGGGAGGCTGAGGCAGGAGAATCGCTTGAACCTAGGAGGCGCAGGTTGCAGTGAGCTGAGATCAGGTCACTACACTCCAGCCTGGTGACAGAGCAAGACTCGGTCCCAAAAAAAACAGCAAAAAACAAAAAACAAAAAAACCAGAAGGCAAACAATTCAGAGTATTGCCAGTACACATTGTGTGACTTTTTGAAAAAGGTTAATTTGTGATATGTTTCAGTGTTCAGCAGTATGCTGTGAAAGTTGTAAAGATCTTTATCTGCTTAGTAAGGCAAAAATGGTTAATTTTGTGTAATATACCTGTTTTGTATACAATACAAAGGAAATACCAATACTTTTGGTCTTTTTGAGAAGTCAACATAAAGCATAGAATATTAATGCTGTAGGGATGTGGAGAATATCTTATTGAATTCTGTCATTTTTATACAGGGGAAATGAAGGAGCCAGAGACAGGGCTGGGTGTCCCCCAGCCCCTGCTTCAGACAGAGGGGTGTAATTGAGACCGGCTGAGGCTGGATGACCTTACCACTAGCTTCAACTATAAAAAGAGAATTGCAGAGGAAAATACAAACTTAGAAGAGGCCAGGTTTTCTCCGGAGACTTGGTCTAATGCAAAGCCTTGTTCTTGAGGAAGACCTATTACGGAGAATTGCTTTTGGAGGTGGCTGGCTTGCCACTTTCAGCAGGAGCAGGGTTGACAACTCCGAGACCTTAAAGAATGAGGTGACCAAGGGCAGTTCTCAAAATTTTACTCTAAAGGAAATGAATGGAATTTCCTTGGGAATTTTAGTTATTCAAGAATAAAATGCAAAATGTTTTAGAGCAAAAAAGAGAATTGGTTAAAATACTGTTTTTAAAAGCCAGTTACCCGTTTTATTAATTCCAAGTCACAAATGATTTTAAATGCCTCCCATTTTATATGCCCCTGTGGAAAAATCACTGCCTGTTAAGCTGTGATCCAAAGCTCTCATCACTTTGATTTTATTTTGTACTTATTGAAAGAACTCTTTGAACTTAGACACAAGTTTTTATCATTGGTCACTGTTACGCCTACAAGAACAGGGAAAATAAACAGGACCAAGCTTATTGGAAATGTTTGCCTCTGTGACAGCCTCATGCTGCCTGAGGACCAGGCAAATTTCAAGGTTGGTTGGATAAGGTATTCCTAAGGTTGGTTAAGGTATTCCTAAGCTTCTTTACATCAAGGGTTCAGTTCTTCTGCCTCGCTCTTCATTGATCATCATTGATGTCCATGATTTTGTAGATACCTGTTCCATTGAAGACACTGGTGATGCATCATTTCTTAGAATCTGTAAGGTAGCAAAAGGCCATTGGCACAGAGCTCTTTACTTGGCTTTGCAATTCAGTGGAGAGCTAGTCTACCGTGGTTCAGGAATGCGGCTGATCACTTCCTGGCATTCCCTCCCAACCTGTCTTCCACGCCCAGCTGATTCTGAGTTGTTACAAGAACTCAAGAGTGTGCCTCCCTTTTTTTCAGGATTTTTATTTCCACATTGCTGATATTCAGTCATGCTTACATGGTGAGAACTCTCTTGCAATTGCCATAAGGCAGACAGAGATTGTCAGATGCCACCGACTCTGAAACATCCTGATTTTGTGCTTCAGAGATGTAAGAATATAAAAAGAAATGTGTCTCAGAACTAATGAAAGATGGCACAGAAAGACTTTATTTCCTTTAATACTCTTCTCCCTTTGGTATTTGACCTGTTCTGCTGCAGACAAGGTCAATTAGCTGCTTTGTTTTGTCACTGTAAGGAATCAAGTTTGGAGTTCTGTAGAGTGCCTGCCTGGTGTTTCTCTAGGTCACCGTCAGGATGCTGGTGATCTCTGAGCTGTCAACAGGTGTCCTGTGCAGAGTGGGCTGTGGCTGCAAACTTTGAAAGAGGCTATACACCACACTTCTCTTATTTTCTTTATTCATTTATTTTTTAGAGCAGCTCTGAGTATATATCATATCACTCTCTTGGAGAAGAGACATAATATCAATGTAAGTATTAGCCTCTGAAAAAGTCCTGCACTAAAGAATCCTGTTTGAATGCTTACTTCTGTGTCCCCAAGCTTACTGAGTATCAAAGTCTTTCCCCTCCCTGTCTTTTTATGAGGACAGAGTTAGGGTATCCTCTAGGGTATTTCAAGGCTCAGTCCTAACATCCAAGCCTGCATCACTGCTGCTGACCTTCCATAGGACCCCCACATTGGATGCTGAGTTATCCTCAGAGGAAGGGCATATCCACAGAAAAGCTAGCACCATTCTCCCAGTCTTCAGGTAGCCTGAGGCTGTGACCAAGGCGGACCTTTTCCAAGGATCCTTTCCAGTGATGGCTTATCTTTATGTCCCTATGAGGGGTGTTCATGTCTGCATCTCATACTCAGTGGTTGGTTCCTCTTTCTTAGATGGTAGTGCTCTTTTCCCCTCACCTGTTAATCTGCACACTTTCACACCCTTCCCAGATCTGCCCTCCAGTAAGCATTTGATAAGCATTTAAGAAATGATGACATATTGTAGAAGACTGATACTGAGGCTCTTTTCTTGCTGGGGTGTGTGTGCGTGTGTGTGTGTGTTTACACATATTTTATACACATGTACACATACATGCTTATTATTTGTTCCATGTATTCTGCCTGTTCAGGGATATTAGAGGTAACTGTGTCCCCTGAGGTAGGTATGGTTATTACCGCTGTTCTAGGGAGGTAAATGGAGGCCGAGAGGTGAGGGAGTGAATGCACCAGCAGATTCGTCTGAGCTTTGTGAACCTCACTTGAAACCTTGCTCTCAAATGTTATAAAACCATCTCCTAAGGACCCACTATTACCACAAAACACTTTTGGAAACCAGTTTGCTCACCACAACAAAGGCCCAGGACAGTCACCAGCTTCCTGGAGGAGGGAAGGCTGGTTCTGAGCGGAGGCTGGTGGAAAGCCAGCACTGTGTCCCTGCTGCGCAGTTTTTCACAGAGCTGGCTCTGTGCATAGAAACCGATTTAAGTTACTAGAGTCAACATGCCGACCCAAAGTGGTGCCTTGGAGTTGGCTCTCAAGCTGTGGTCCTGGTGTTTCTGAGTTCTTATGACCTGAATAGAAAAAAATACATAAATAAAAGACAAAACAAGCCTAGAATCTTCTGTTCTGATCCAGTCGACAATGATCTTCTTATTACCTTGTTTTTTTTTGTTTGTTTGTTTGTTTTTGGAAAAAGTAATAATTTTATTAACTTGTGCTTTTGACATAGTAAAATACTGTTTTTTAAAGAGTTTGGGTTGATTTTATTATTATTTTTCACATGCAAGCTGCATTTATTTTTTCTTTTTCTTTTGTTTTTTATTATGCTTTAAGTTCTGGGGTACATGTACAGAACGTGTGGGTTTGTTACATAGGTATACACGTGCCATGGTGGTTTGCTGCATCCATCACCCCGTCATCTACATTAGGTATTTCTCCTAATGCTATCCTTCCCCTATCCCCCCACCTCCTACTCTCCCTCCCCTGCAACCCCAGGGACATGGATGAAGCTGGAAACCATCATTCTCAGCAAACTGACACAAGAACAGAAAACTAAACACTGCATGTTCTTACTCATAAGTGGGTGCTGAACAACGAGAACACATGGACACAGGGATTGGAACATCACACACAGACTCTGTTGGGGGTTGATATAGTAAAATACTTTCTTAAGAATGAAATCAAACTACTGAATTATCAAGTCATGCAAGAAAATGACTGGAACATGCAAAGTGGCTCTGTCTATGAAGAGAACATGGTTGGAACACACAGTTGTTTCTGCCTTTTCATTCATTTGAGTCACCAAAACTTAACGATCCTTAGCAGCCCATGAATGATGGTGGAGCTGTGTGCATAGTGTGGTCTTTCCTTCTTTATGGTTTTCTATATTTTCTAAACCTCTCGTTATGTGTAGGTGTTAATTTTTAATGAGTAGACAGTATGTGTGTGTGGCAGGGAAGGAGAGGATTGTAAGGGATAAAGAGGAGCTGCCTGAGAAAGTTATGTGGGAGGGAGGTGGAAGAATAATGAAAGTCCGCTTCACACGGGGAAAAGGTGAGTGATGATGCTGACTTTCATTATCTTTCCAAACTGCATGCTGGCTGGAAAAATAATGACTTGGGTGCTACTCCCATTCCTGGTTTGCCATGCGCAGCATCTATGATGTCCCTTGCCTGTTTGCTTCTGGGGTGATCTACCATCCAGATGAGCTTGGATCTGAGTGCTTTCCTGAGATGCAAGACTTTCAGTACTAAAACTGGGGGCAGTTTTCAGTTGGTCACCCACCATCTCCCTTCCTTAGAACTCTCTTGGGCAGTTCCTCCTCACCCCTTTTGTTCAACACACCCTCTCCCTGCCACACACACATGCTCTCTTCTCATTGAAAATTAATACATACACAGAACAAGAAGTTTGGAAAATATAGAAAAGTAAAAATAAGGAAAACCACACATGCATATAGCTCTACCATCATCCAGGAACATCTGCTATGAATATTGTGATATATTTACTTTCAGGTTTCTTTTCTATGTAGGCAACCTTTCTGTGACTTATTTTCACATTTCATAGCTGCCCTCAATACTCATTTCAACTAAATTATCTTCATAAAATTATTTGCAGGAGTGAGGAGAGCCTTGGATGATTTATTTCCTCCTATATTCCTGAGATACGACCCTGGATGGATGCCCAAGGTGTAACATACAAGAACTATCAAAGACTTCAGTATCAGGTAATTAAATCCTTAACAGAGGTTGGCAACCATTTTGAGGTTTATAGATAAAGGAGGGCAGGGGAAATTGCAGAAAGTTTAGCAGAGAACCACAATAGCTGTGGCATATTTCATTAGGAGATTACAGAGCCAATGCCATAATTATTATCAGTATACGAATATTGCTTATATGAAAGAGAGTGATAAATTTTTCTCCTACCTCTAGTGAACGTCAGAGAAGACGAAATGAGTCTTAAGCATAGTGTGAAGGATTTAGGCTAGATAATAAGAAAAGTTATTAACTACCTTAGTGGGTTCGAGAGAGTCTAAGAAATCTCCTTCTCTGAAAGTCTTTAAAAATGATAGAGATTTTCCTATCAAGGAAGGATTAAGTGTGGGCCTGCCTAATGTAGAAGAATAAACAAAATAGCCTGCCAGAGTCTCAGCCAGCACTCAGGTTCTATGATTCTATATATATTAGAGAGCACATAAAATGCATGTAAAATTGACTTTTATTTTACATTTTCCTTTGAGAAACCAAGAAAAATAGATAGTGATATTTTTAAGGCTCACGTTTAATTTCCAGACAGTTGCGTAAGAACATGGGTGCTATGGGGTTGGATGGTAACATCAGAGGGGAAGCACTGGGCTGTAATGAAGTTGACTTTCATTATTTCCCCAAATTACATTCTCGTTGCTTTTCCCTGAAACTTTAAAATAGGTCCATTTAGTTCAGTAAATGTCTTAACTGGGAGTTTAAGTCCCATTTGTATTTCAAGGGATTATACCAAATCTACCTGGTTTGCAACGCCGCAAGTAACTTCCGGCCTTTCCTTCTTCAAGCCTGTTCTGTTGATTATTCTTAATTGTTAACAGCATTTCATTCAAATCTCTTTGTATTTTCTCCTGTGCTTTTCCTCTCGTGCACATTCATGTGAATGGTGCATTCCCTGTAAATACAGTCCATGGAGAACATCCCTTTCTATGCAAATTGGCAGCTCAGGGAATAGTTGTGTGCTTACAATGTCATTGAAAGTTGTACAAATCAATTGGCAAAAATTATTTTCTGTGATTATCTTGTTTTTGCAGTTACATTTTTAATTTTGACAGTTTAAGTGTGTTTAGGGGTCACGATAGTTAAAGGCCAAGCAGAATGTGGGGTAGGTCACTGCTCAGATTCCTACTGCTTGGCTAATGAGGTTTTCTTTCGACTTTTGGTGTCATTTAATCTCATTAACATTGAAGTGAGATACTTTAGAACAAAACAAATGAACAAATATTTATTGGGTGCCTGTGATGTGCAAGGTATACGTATGGGGCAGTGAGGCATAAAAATTAAGAGCCCTTGCTTTCAAGATTTTCACCATCCAATTTAATCAAAATTATATAGTAATAAAATAAGGATATAGATCACATAGAAAAAGTACCATAAAGTGGGACATGATGAATTGACAGTAAACTATACAGGTTATAAGGACTCGATTTTGGAGAGAGAACTGCAGGCTGCAGTAGGAGCCTTTCATTCATGACATCTGAGTTGGCCTCAAAGGTGTTGGCTAAACCGAAAATGGGCCTTGTGGGATAGTAAAATAATGTGTGTAAATACTGAATAGGAGGAAGCAAAAGGTATATTTAGGAACCAATAAATACAATTTGGTTGAAAAGGAGACTTTGAGCAGGAGAATAGTGGAAAAAGTTTGGAGAGCAGTTCTCAGTTAATGCTAAGTGCATTCACTCTTCCGTTGCTGTGGAACAAAGTACCACACATTTAACAGCTGAAAACAATATTCATTTATCATCTCATAGTTCTGTAGACCAAAAGTCTGGGTAGACACAGCTGGGTCCCCTGGTTAGGGTCTCAAAAGACCAAAATCAAGGGGTTTGGGATTAAGCTGGAGGTCCTGGAAACATTTCCCGGCTAAGCTCATCCAGATTGTTGTCAGAATTCAGATCCTTTGGTTGTAAGAGTGAAGTCTTTATTTTCTTGTTTGCTGTTAGCCAAGGGACACTCTCAGCTCTCAGTGGACACACTCAAGTCCTTATCGCATGGTTCTCCTGTCTCCGCAACAGAGGACTCCATTCATGTTGAATCCATGTAACTCTTTGAATCTCTGCCTTCCTCTTCCACCACCAGCTGGTAAAAACTCTCTGCCTGTAAAGGTCTCATATGATTAGCTGGGGCTCTCTCAGATAATCTTTCTTTTGATTAATTCAAGGCCAGCTGATTAGTGACCTTAATTACATTTACAAAATCTCTTTGGCCATGCAATACAACATAATCATGGGCAAAACACACAGAGACAAAGATCATGGGAGTCATCTGAGTACCCTGCCTACCACACCAAGCCAATCGTGTGATGCCACCACATCCCCACGTGTTGCCTAAGAGCTCAAACCTCAGGACATGTGTATAGGATACAGTAAGTAGTTTAAACAGGGGCAGAAATGTGGCAGGATTTGGCATTTTTATCAACTCTCTTTTACCTTTAAGGGAAGTTCTTACATATTCTTCCATTCAACTTTCAAGGTTATAAGCATGTGAAAGGCTTTCTTATGCCTCTAAAGACTTTGGCAGTGTTACTAACTTGACCTAGATGGGATGACAAACTTGAAAGAGTAAGAAAAATTCCCCTGAGGGTGTGTATACTATTCATGAATCTTTTTTTCTTTCCCTGGCCCAAGTATCCTTCTATTTACTACATTTTTTAAAGAGTCATGTCATTCCACAAAAAGTACAAAATCCTATTTCAAGGCATAGCCTGTAGTAGAGTTGGTGTTGGAATTTAGTTTAGAAAAAATAACTCTAAATGTCTATAACTAAAATTTACCATGCTAATGGTATTCTCCAGTCCAACATGCTTGCAACATGTTGAATCACTCAGGGAAGAAATAGTGTTTATTTCTATCTCTCTCAGTGAGCCATTGCATCCAATCTGAAATTTGACAGTCATCTGAGTGGGCAGCAGAAAAAGGGAAGGCTGAGTGTATAATGTAGAAAATAGTGTCTTGTACAGTATCATTGGAATGAGTTGCTGATGCAGTGTAGCCGTTACATGCAAACAGGATAAATACTGCCAGTCAGCAGATTCCTAGCACCCCTACTAGCTTTGGGCAGAGCACGGAGCAAGACGTTGCTGAGTGTTTGAAAAATCTTCAAGTCTTCTTAGACTATGAAAGAAGACTGTCCCTTCATTGGATGCTTAACTTCATTTAGGAAGAGTGTTAAGACCTTTCTCATAATCTGTGACTTCCATGCTAACGGATGAATACAAATATTGTTATCACCTTCCATTGACAGAGGACTACATTGTTACAATGGAGAAAAGTGTTAATCCTTTTGTAATTAATGCCGTATTGGGGTCAGCACATGTCAAGGATGTCGTCGGATTTTGGTAAATTAACTTTGAAGTCCTTTTCTTAATTCTCATTTTTCTTTTATCTTAAAAAGTAACCATTGCATATAACTTTGTCCTTTTTCTTTTACCAATGATATAAGACTTAGCTTTTATGTTGACATGAAACCAAACCAGACGAAAGGTGAATAGGAAGGACACATGGCTCTTACTATCCTACTCCCTTAACTAAACACAAAGAAAAATTCAGCATAGAGAAATTACTATGACCTTGTAGTAAAGAATAAGCATTGGTTTAATAATTTCTAGGTCTCATACCTGGAAAGTAACCAGTGCTTATTAAATGGTATCTATTCTGATTACTATTAACATCATTTTCACATACATATATAAGAAGGTGACCAGGCATTTCACATACTGGAGTAGAAGTGCAAACAGTAACTACGTCTTAAGTTCAGCAGGGTTAGAGTGATGGGATACAGTGTTCCTGAAGGTGGTGGGCTTCAGTCAGTGCTTTCCTGAGTGGCTTCTTTAAAAAAAACCCCTAGTTTGTTATGATTAACACAGTCCCGGGGTCAAATATGTTTAGCTACCACAGGCTGGAAAGATTCAAAAGGTTTCTTCACTTTGTGACTTCTCAGAGTGTTTTATGACAATTATGTAATAACTCTCCAAAAGCAAGACTCAATATGTAGTGATTCCCAAGCGTATTTGATCTTTTTGTTCTTCCATGGAGCTCCCACAGCTGGAGTGGTGGAGCAAACTCTGGGAAGTGTGAGGTAAGATCCTGTCTTGAAGGATGGGTGGGGGGCCTCAGGTAGTCGATGGAAATGGGGCGAGCGTTGCGTATTATAAGCAGAAGGTTTGGAAGGAGCAAAGGCAGAAGTGTGGTGAGCCATGAAAGACTAGCTAAAAGGGTGGGGTGGGGACAAATGGGGAGGAAAGGACTGTTGTGAAGAAACAGGAAATGAGTGGAGGTAGTTGGGTTTTTTTGTAGTTATTGTCTTGCTAGCATTTTGTAAAAGACAGATTAATCTGTCAACACGTCCAGAGTGGTCTGGATAGGCAGAGCCTGTAGGCAGGAAAACTCGTCAGGAGTCTTTTGTGTTTGTCCAAGCATGGGGTTACCAGATCCTCCCCAACCTTGTTTCTCTCATATGATCTCTCAGCCGATGACGGCGTGGTCCCTGCTGTGCTTGGGCTCCGTGTTGGCAGGTGTCCAGTATTATCTCAGGGACCCAACATTTGCACCAGGTCTCCAAGATAACACCTTTCTTAATGTCTGGATATGCCTTATAACATTTCTGTTTCTCTAAGTCTGTCTTTGACTCCACACCGTTTCTTTTTGTTTTATTTAATTTTTAAAGTTTTTAAATTTTACTTTAAGTTCTAGGATACATGTGAAGAATGTGCAGGTTTATTACACAGGTATACACGTGCCATGGTGGTTTGCTTCACCTATCAACCCGTCATCTGGGTTTTAAGCCCCACATGCATTAGATATTTGTTCTAATACTCTCCCTCCCCTTACCCTCCACACTGTTTCTTAAAAGAACATGTTATTATAAGCTGGAGACACTCACCATTAGGTGCCGCTTCCTTCAAGGTTGGCTGGTCTAAAACCTGCACAGACCACAGCCCTTTATGGTGCATTTCATGTTTGCATGTCTGTCATCTGGAATACCTTGTAGACCATGTTGGCAACTGGCCAAGCTGAGCGTAGAAAGAAAATGGCCTACCAGCCTTCATAGCCTTTCCTCTTTGAGTTATCGAGGAAACAAAACCAGAGTTGTTTCAGCGTGAATGACAGTAAAAAAGATAACTGAGGAAAGTGCTGGTCAATCACAGTTTACAGTTGCTGGAGAGCCCAGCTTGGAAGGACTCAAGGACAGAGTGCTGATCTCCACGGGAGGAACCATTGTGCTTTTAGGGAATCTTCTCTCTGTTCTTGATGCTTCTCTCTTCCCTCCATTCTTATATTACGGGGATTAGCAAGTCCAGCCTGGTGAATAATAGATGCTGGATAAGCTCCCTGTCTTCTCCCTTACCTCTTAATTCATTTTGACCTTGACTTGGAAGATATCCTTCTACCACGCAGGCATTGTCACCATAGTTTTACACCGTTTGATCGTGTTGCTATTTGGAGTGTGAGTTGTTTTTTAAAAACTATACAAAGAATAACTTCTTTTTTTTTCTTAACATGTGAGAGGTGAAATAAAGGAGCTCCTGATAAGTATAGAGATTAGGAAACAAAGCGACAAGTAAGTCTCCACACCTCACAGCCAACAGCTGCCCCATTAATGTCATGTGCGTTTACAGCAGAAGTGGTCAATGACAACACAGTGGAAGGCAGTTCAGGTCACAAATGCAGAGCAGGAAATATATTTTCATCTTGTTATTTATGACCCAGCCTTAAAGGAAAACAGATGGTACTACTTTCAGAGCTGTTTTGCTCTTGTTTCAAATGGCTAATTCAAATCAAACACGGATTCTATTCTTAGTCGAGGCAGCTGCTGCATTGTCTGAGCTGGGCTGTTTTTACCAACACCCCTTCCTCTGACAGAATGGCCAGAGAAGACCACAGCAACACCACTGTCACTACCACCCAGCAGTCCTAAGAGAACTGCATTTGTTGGCAGCAGCACAAAGCCTATTGCCGGCTGACACCATTTAGGATAAACTGTGGTTGCATTTTGAGTAGAATCCGGAACCTCCACTCCCTTCCCTCTTGCATTTAATTCTTTCCCTTTGAAAGCAATGATTTATTCCAATTTTAGAGTAGAGTGACCTCTCAGGGACCCTTAGGGTGGGAAGATTGCAAAGATGGGAAGAGAAGTCAAAAGGGGCTAAGAGAGGAAATGGAATGTGAGAGATGCTCTCACAACACAGAGAAGACAGCAGACGCTACTTAGGTGCCCTCTCCCAGGGCAGCCATATTGTCCTGCTGATTTTCTTTAGTCAAAGGTTCTGTTTATGAGACTCACTAATAAGACATTAAAGAGTAACTGCTTACATTAACCATCTTTAAAAATCAGTTTTGAAAACCAGGTAATATATGTTCATGATTCAACAACAACACTTTCCATCTATTCATTTCTTGACCCTACGCACACTCCCTGGGTTTAATGCTCCCACTGGACACCCACTCCCTTCCCTTCTATGCCCAGAACCAATCATTTCAAATTTTTTCTAGCTATTAACTTCAGATATTGACTTCCATATTTCTAAGAAATGTGCTTATAGAGTTGAGTCTTTATTTAGTTTGAGACAATATCTCTTACATTTCCTTAATGGTAGTTGAGGATTTAGCTTGTCTACAACTCCTCCCTTGACTCATTTATTCAATTGAATTATATTATATTTTCAGTTAATTACCTAACAGTTTTATGTTATTATGAATAGTTAAGTTATTTTTATTGTTAAGCCATGTCAAGTATTATTAGATTTCCTTTTGGTACAACTTATTTTTCCTGAAGTTAATAATTATACATTTTTTATTGGCTTATTTTTATCTATTTCTTTAAACTTTTCTTTTGAGATCAAAACTTGTCAAATGCTTTCAAATAAGCAAACACATCTAAATATCTGTTTTCACTCTCCTTCCCCGTTTTTATTGTCCTTTCTTCTGAAAGCCTCCTAACCCTTCTTTCTCTTTCCATTTACTCTGATCTGTTTATTGGCTAAGTCTTTTTAATAAGGCCTGCTCTAGGACTTTCCATTACTTCTCCTGTGTTGGCTCACTTTCTAAGATTCCACATTTAGTTATAAGATCTTAAACACAAATATGAGGGAAGTCAAGTTTTTGATTCCTTGCATTCTTGAAACTCTTGTTAATTTACCCTCACATTATACAAACATAGCTCAACATGGTAGAGAAAATGAGAAACAAAGTGTATTAGTCCATTTTCATGTTGCTGGTAAAGACATATCTGAGACTGGGAAGAAAAAGAGGTTTAACTGACTTACAGTTCCACCTAGCTGGGGAGGCCTCACAATGATGGCAGAAGGCAAGGAGGAGCAAGCCACATCTTACATGGATGGCGACAGGCAAAGAGAGAGCTTGTGCAGGGAAGCTCCTGTTTTTAAAACCATCAGATCTTGGGAGACTCATTCACTATCATGAGAACAGCACAGGAAAGACCTGCCCTCATAATTCAATCACCCCCACTAGATCCCTACTATGACATGTGGGAATTGTGGGAGCTATAATTCAAGATGAGATTTGGGTGGGCACACAGATGAATCATATCACCAAGATTAGTGAACTTTAAGATATATTCTACCGAAAAAAGCTCTTCAAAATAAAACATATACCTAAATGTAGAACCCAAAACTATAAAACTTCTGGAGGAAAACAGGTGGAAATCTTTGTGATCTTGAGTTAGTCAAAAATGTCTTAGTTATATCACTAAAAGCTTGATTCATTAAAAATTGATTAATAAACTAAACTTCATTAAAATTAAAAAAAATTGGCTCTTATATAAGAATATGGAAAGAGAAATCACAGACTGGGGGCAAATATTTGCAAAACACATATCTGATTTAAAAAACCTCTAAGCAGACTACATAAAAAACTCTCAAAACTCAACAGTAAGAGCATAAACAGATGACAAATAAGCATGTGGAAAAGATGTTCAACATCAGTTAGTCACTAGAGAAATGCAAAGAAAAGCTACAGTGAGATACTGCTTCACACCTGTTAGAATGGAAAATTAAATGAACTGACTACATCAAGTATTACCAAAGATGTAGAGGAACTGGAGATCTCATATACTGCTAGGGGGAATGTAAGATGTTACAATCACTTTGGAAAGCAGTCTGGTAGTTAAAAAAAAATTAAACCGGAACCTCTTATATGGTCCAACCATTTCACTACTAAGTATTTACCCAAGAGAAAAGAAAACATATCCATACAAAGGCATGTCCATGAACGTTCTTAGCAGTCTTGTTAAATAATAGCCAAATCCTAGAAACAGCATAAATGTCTATCAACAAACAAATATATAAACAAACTATGGTATATCCATATAGTATAATGCCACTCAGAGGTGGAAAGGAACAAAATATTGCTACACCTAATAGCATACGTGAAACTCAAAATAAATAGCCTGAACGAAAGAAGCCAGACAAGAATGATTACATATTGCATGAGTCCACTTACATAAAATTCTAGATAATAGGAATGAATCAATTGTAGCAGAAAGCTAATCAGTGGTTGCCCGGGGTGGAGTGGGGGCACTAGAACAAGGGATTACAAAGGGTTCACTGTCTTAATGTGGTGAAGATTTTGTGGATGTATACTTATGTCAAAGCTTATCAAATTGTACATTTTAAATATGTGCAGTTTTTATGTCAATTATACCTCAATAACTTTTTTAAATTAAAAATAAAGCATCATGTGGATACATCTGAAATTACGCATTTTTAATAATTACAGGAATGCTTTCAGATCACTGGTATATGTACATCCATCGATACTGATTCCATCAATATGGATTCAACCAAGCCCTGTGCTAGCAAAACAGAGTCCCTAACACTGGC